TTGATAATTTGTTCGGTAAAAGCTACATTTCAACTTTAATAATGCCAACAGCTTTTTGATAAGTTGTTGAAACTTACACAACTTCGCTTGAGTACTCTCTGCTTAACGAAGCGCTTGAGTGGACATCAAATTAATGTCGCCTAATATGGCAGTCAGAATGCTTATGCAGAGGCCTTTCGGGGCACAGGAGTGTTTTGATAAGAATTAAATAAAGTAAATATTTTTAATGTGGAGAAACTAATGCTAAATGAAATTAGTTATTAATCTTGTATTGAGTTTAGTATGAAATCGGTATGCTGAATTACGACTAATAAATGAAACGTTATTTTAAACAATAAGAAAAAAGAAGATTTTTAAATAAGGTTGCCAGCTAACTAGAATTTGAAAGTAATTGGAAATAAAATTTATACACGTTGCATGCAGATGCATTATCCGTATACATAAAACGAAACGCTGTTAGATATTTAAATTCAACGCAATGAAAGAAGGGTTGCCGCTTGTCTAAAAAAAAATTGTTTGGAACCAATATTTCCATGATAGTATTAAATGAAAGCAAAACTGAGAAAGGCTTCAAATTGGAGGCTTTAGACAATAGGGTTGTCAGCCAGTTATAATAGTAAGGTTAAATGGCAAAAGTTGGGTTAAAAGCGAAGAAAATGCTGCCAGAAGTTAAGAATTATTATTTTTTTATTTTTTTTTTTGAGAAATACGACGTGAATATTTGTGTGTAAAGTTGCTACTAAAGCGGTGCAATTATTCGATTACTCGAGCAAGTTGGTTAATCAGTTCTCCGGCTAATCAATTACTCGAGTTATCAAGATTTTGATTACTCAAAAAAATGTTTAATCGAGTTAAGTAAAAAAAAAAAATCAGAACGTATTTCGGGTAAAAGTACAACGAAATTTTTTATAATTTAAGACATTTTTAGGGAGGTTGCTATCAGAAACAAAATTAAGAATTATTATTAAAACTAATTGCATGAAAAATTTAAATATTTATACGGAAAGTGAAAAAAAGTTTGATAAGGTGAAACACAACTCAAATACAACTGTCCCCTCTATAAAAAATATTTTTTTTTTTCGCTGAGCACTTAATTAAATATAATTAAAATTTATGAATGAAATTTATATAGAAATAGTCGTCTATTGAGATAAGGTTGCCTTCTGTCAAGCAAATAAAAAATTTCCATTTAGGAATCAAACGAAACGGGTTAAGGAATGATTTCATTTAAACATATTATTAAAGAGATTTGGGAGATTAGATGAAGAGTTCTTGACTAAATTTGTAACTGAAATCGCTGCTGTTATTAGCACTCTGAAACTTGAACGGTCTATGAGTCTGCGAACATTTGGCAGGTTATGGTCGATATCGAGTACAGAGCAGGAAAGTTGAATTAACCGAAACTTCGAAATCCACTTTAACGAACGAAGTGATTGAAAACTAAATATTTTTCAAGCTGTGAACAGAGATCCTGATCTTTACAGTTGGCTTCAAACAAAACGGCTATAAGAGATGCCTATAAACTACTGAACTTTAGCTTAAATTTTGTAAGGTAGCGCATTTCCAAGAGCTTAGACAGCATATGGAAACCTGATTAGAGGCTCTACTAGGACTTCCGAGAAAATCAGGATGATTAAAACTTTAAAGACTTGTAGAGAGGAAACTCTTTAAATAGAATTGTCCGCTAAAAAATAAATTATAATTTATTTGAGAATAATTGCCGCCTAAATACTTATTGCATAGAACTGTGAACTTCTTTTCTTAGCCTTTTTAACCTTTTAAATGGCGAGAACTGTCAGTTCCAAAAATGTTTTCAGTTTTTGTTTCATAATTGCGTCCCTATAACCGCAAATAGTAAGGGGGGCATTAATCGCCGTAAAGTCTTTAAGTGGTAAAATTTTTGAATTTAAAATAACGATCAAAATTGTTAAGGGCATTTGCAACTGAACTAAAATATTTTTTAAACGCATAGAAAATTTATACTAAGCTCTTAATATTCGCTGTGAAGTCCCTAAACTCATATTAACCATTATTTTACATTGCAAAATTGTACAACCTTAAGACAATATGACAACAGTATTTTTGGAGCATACATATAAAAATAGTGTCATTTTTGAATAGAAAAAAAAATTGCTTAAAAATAAAAAAGTCGAATAAAAAAAGTAAAAGTGTTGCCACCGTCTTTTTATTTTTAAATTAACTTCTTCTGACTTCTTAAAAATACTATATACGAATTAATGGTCGCAAGCCATTTTTAAAAAATAGGGTTGCCACATGAAAATGAAATATATTAGCTTTGAAATATTTTTTAATCTATTTGCCACCTAATGAAAATACATTCCATTTTAATTCAAATGTTCTTTTGGTGGGCGTTCGCTTTCTCAATAACGAGAGTAGAAAATAAAAGCAATCAGTGGAGAAACAGATTAATACACAAACTTGGAAATATTCATTAGTCAAAGTAAATGATGACATCTTCTGTTGCATAATCGAGTCCTTTGCTATCCGCTAGTTTTTCTCCAATTAAACTTCAAAATCGACTCATGTTTCTATAGAATCTTTTAGATTTTTGCTTTTAAATGGCATCCTGCTTGCCCACGTACGTCCGCTTTTTGGAAACGCAATTTCCTCAAGAATTGTTATACACAACAATTAATCTTCCAGCGCACTCAAAGTTAAATTTCTTTGCTTGCTTGCCCGCCGCAATCTTGCGTTCATCCAACTGATTGCATGCTAATTAGGACGAGGCACAGAGCTTCCGTCCACATCCCAATTGACCAAGCAAAACTTTAAGTCTTACCCCACCAGAGCTTAGACAAAACTCAAAACAACTTGAGTAAGGTGAAGAAGTCTACGGCAAGCGGCTAGCGATTGAGCAACAACCGAAAATTTCAAGTGCTACCACACACCATTGCACACTTAGCTTAACAAGTTTTAATTCGTTTTGTGAGGTAAAAAGTTTCGAAATTTTCGAAATTGCTAAGTAAATAGAACAAATAAGACCGCGAAAGACAAATCAGAGCAAAAATAAACAAACAAAAGGGCGCAAAGCAAAGGCGAGCAAAAAAATAAATATAAAAAAATAGTTCACACGCTAAATTGGGAGCGCGTTGCCGCGGTTAGGTCGCTAGCCTTTAGTACCGCTAAAAATTTTACTAAAATTTGTTGTGAAGCACAGCAATAATACAACTGAAAAATAAATGCATACAACATATAAAACCGGCACAGGCTTGTATTGCAAATGCATTTCGTTTGTACGTTTGTGTTTGCGACATTTCACCGTTACAACGTCTGCATTGAAAATTACAAATGTTTGCTAAAATCATTTGCCAAAGTGTAAACTTTTTCAATTAAATGTTCGTGTTGCTGCCTGGCTGGTTGGTTGGCTAGCATTGGAGCTCTTTTACTCGACAGCAATGTCGCCGCTGCTGCTGCCGAAGTTGGTATCGAGGAAACCTACGGTGGTAGGTCGTCCTTGCGCGCTTTCAAATTTCAAAACAGCACTACATTTGACTGCATGCCATGGTTAAAGTGGCATTTGCCTGCGCTGCCGCCACTAAGCCGACGAATTTGTTGCATACTACAACCGACTACCGGAACAGGAAGTCGTAGAAATTGACGTTATCCGTATGGCAGCGAGGAAGAATGGCAAAGTGTTAGCTTTATTGCTGAAGTAAACAAAGGAAATCCTCAATTTTGGTTGCATTGCAAGAGGTGAATTCCTAATTTTTCGCGTAAAACGTGGCCTCTCCGACCACTGTGCGAAGCACAAAACTCAGCGAACCACGCAAATCGAGTTTTATATTCCTTTCGACTAGTCTGCAATGAAACGATTACCTGTTTTTCGTAATGTGGGCTCTACAAAGATAGAATCAGTGTTGCCATATTTCCGGAAAAACCTGTATTTTTGACCTAAAAACTATAATTAATTAAGGTATTTTTTTTATTGTATTAAACATAAATAAGAAAAACGAATTAATTAAAATGAAAATATTATAATCCGTTTAAATTATACTTAACTAAACAAAAGTAGATTTTATAGTACGGAACATTTGTTTAAATGAAATTCATTTTCATTATTTTACGTAAACTGCTTTGTTAGTTTTTTCGAGCATTTGATATGATACCTCAAATTTGGTACCTCTGCGATACTTTTCTTTTAGGAAAGGTTGAGTCCTTATAATAACAAAGAGCACTGGCGGATTTGAATTTTTGCACCCCTAGGCAATTCAGAATTTGCCCCCCTTTTTCCGGTAAGAAAAATATTTTGAGGTAAAAGTACCAAATTTATGTTATTTACTATACTTTTATTACAATTTAAAACGAAAAAGTGGTATTTTCCATGAGTAAAGGTTTTCAACTTTTAAAGAAAGCCACTTTTTTCACTGGATAAGTTATAATCTAAAAAATACTAACCTTTTTTTATTTTGTATTTTTTAAATATTATCATTTAAATAATATCAAAAATACCTAACAGTGTTGTCCAATTTTATGATTGCGTAATTGAATCTAAAATTTATGTCTTAAAATGTACAAATACAAATTCTACTTTCAGTGCAGCTAACTTGAAAAAAATTAATTTGTTTTTTTTCAGGTCAAATTTTGCCGCTCCTAAATTTCGCCGCCCTAGGCACCTGCTTATGTTGCCTTTACGGTAAATCCGCCACTGACAAAGAGTGTTGGAATTTCCAGTTTATTTTTTGATTTGAGAAAATATTCTTACCACATTTGCTGTGTCGACTGCATTGCAGAGGGCACTCAACTTTTATCTTAAAAATTGACTTAGAAAAAAAAACCAAAAGAGACATTTTAATTTATTCGTACAAACCGGATATTTGAAAAAAAAAACTGTAATTTGTATTAGGAGGTAATTCCAACAACTGTAAGCTTAGCTAAAAAACTATAATTTACTGTTAAAGCTGTGAATCTGGCAACAGTGGATATAAACTGAAAGTTTAATTTTACCCAAATCATATTTATTTCCAACAAATGAAACTTACACTTCCAAAAGTCGAAACGAAAAACGAAGCTGCTACAATCCAAGCGTTGTCGTCGTTACAACTTTCGAGAGATCAAAATCCGCTTTTAATCCATTTCCTGCTTAATGCAGCAAAGTAGAGCAGCAAAAATTGTGACAAGCGTTTTTGTGGCACTTTTATTTTACACTACGCCGTACCTTTTCACTGCTTCTGGCAAACAGTAGATAAGTTGGGTTCGAGGACACCTTTCTTTTTTTCAAGTTAGATTTTAATTTTTAGCTCTTTTTCATCCTTTATTATTATTTTTATTTCTTCGCGCACACTTGTTCAGAGCTACGATGTTAGAGTAAACTGTTTGAAATTTTTTCGCACGCTTTTATTTTTATTTTGTGGAAGCATAGAAAATTGTAAATTCTTTTGCAGGATTTCCACTTGCTTTCCTGATTTCGCGTACGCTCCCTCTTTTGCACTTTGTTGTTTTAGTTTTTTTTTGCTTGGTTATTTCTGCGCGTATGCTAGAGAAGATAGTAAAAAAAGATTGTGTAAATGGAAGGCAATGTGGCGCGCCCTCAAGGATGCGTACTTATTTTGTTGCTGTTGCTTTTGCTATTAATGCAATTTTTTTTACTTTCGCGCTAAAACATAGCTCATATTTATGCATATTTTCTTCGTGTTGCTACACGTATTTATGTAAATAAAATACACTTTCACTGCACTTCCGTTTTCCGGCTTTTACTTCCTGTGCACTCGCGCGCACACGCACACACACGCTGCACCAACACCAAGCTCGTCACATACTTACTGGCGCTGTAGACTTTGTGTTGACGTGTTGACGTGTTGTCGGCGATTTGCAAGTTTCTATTGCTATTGTTGTTGTTGCTTGTGAATTACCGTTAGCATACAGTGGGACACCGCACGGGCGCGTATTTATGAAATTTACAAACACCACTAGAAGCCAACTCTTTTCACCTCCACAAATCACAAAACTGACAGTGGGGAGCAAAAAGGAAAACAAAAATAAATGTAAAGCATCCAACGCTCACACTATCACTGCATTTGAGTGGGCCAACGCTGGATTGTCGTGGCAGGTTGAATGCTTAGTTGGCGCACCGAATGCAGACAATAACTAAATGTGAATGAAGGATGCAGCAGCAGCAGCAGCGGCGACGACAAGGCGAAGCGACGCGACACAAGGACACGCGACTAGACGCAGCGCACGGCACGACCCATGCCACACAGTGACCAGACGTAACGGCTTGAGACGCCAAGTGGCACTCAGCGTGTTGCTAAAAGCAGGTGGAAGTGTTTTTTTTTTTTTTTTTGTAAATATGTGAGCTTGTGTAATAGGTATTATGTACTATGTATGCCGGAATATTTGTGTTTGTGTGTGTGTGTGTGTGTGCACATGTGTGACAGCATGTCAATAGGGACAATGCAAGGAGAGTAACAGTGTCGTAGTAGTTTATTTATTTATTTTCATATTTTTCAAATGCGAATCAAAAGAGTATCAGCCACTGCAATTGAATGCAATTTTTTGTTTAATTGTTTTTAATTTATTAAAAAAAAGGATCACAGGATAACTTACACTTCAGCACAGCGCAGCCACTGCTCAACACTTTCCACTACACTGCTTTACCAATCTTTCACTTTCTTCACACACTTCACTTTTATTTCACCATTAATTTTAATTCAAAATGCCAATAACTGAAACCAAATATGTAGTTTTAGTGATTTACTATGTAGTAGTTTAATTTGTAGCACACAAACGCGGGCACCTTGCTTTCCAACGCTAAACTACATTCAACGGCGTTCACTAAGAAACTAACCGTCGTTTCGGCTCAAATGCCAATGCTTGGCAAAGCAATTGCTTCTTCGCTGTCATTTGAGTGCATACGAATGGAAATTCACCACAGTTCCACGACAAGTTATTACAGTATAAAGTAGCGCAGCGCATCATTGCCGAATCGTGCCGGTTCTCATACTAACCGCCTCCCCCACCGGGTGCTTTGAGTGTGTTGCCGAGGAAAAGCTGGTGTTATGGGGAAACTACGAAAAGCGTGTTTGTTCAATATCAGCATGCAAGCGGTTGCAGCAACATTGTTGAAGCAACATGAGTGAGTTATTTGAAGCGAAATGTTAAAGAAAATAACGAAATTGCTTAAGTCTTACTGGAATGAAAACTGTGTTCCCAATATAAATCTTTAAATAAATTAAACAATTTATAAGAATAAAATTTAGAAGCTTTCAGGAATACTCTATTCTAATCTTTCGAAAACCAAAGGAACTAAATTACTCATGAGACAAAGACAAAGACAAAGACAAAGACAAAGACAAAGACAAAGACA